CGCTGGATTCAACGGTGCGCTGCGATTCCCAGAAAACGATTGTAAAATTGCTCTGATATATTCACCATCCATGAACTTGGCCGCTCAAAAGCGCTTAACATGAATATGTGAAGCTGATTCTTTCCATGCAGTAGTTAAGCCGTGGGTTTCAGGGGATTGTAGTGTTTCACAGTAAGCTCACTTTCCCTGTTTTCATCCACAGAGAATGTTCTCCATGTGAATCGAGAGCCACGCTGAGGCTGTTTCAGATCCATAATATGCCTGACAGAAAGGTCTCTACATTTGCTCTGCATCCAAACAATAGAACGAGGGTCGAATCTGTCAAAGCTGGTTCAAGCACAAGGATCTGTAGTGTTGCTCCATATCTGCATGCATACAGACTATATCATCAATTCAAGACCACAAGACAGTCAGTCAGACGGCAGGTTGCTGAACTCTGGATGCCAGACAGTAAAGAAAGAGATCAAAGTTGTACAGAACATGGAAAGTTGCGACATGCAAGAAGAAGAGAAACCAATATGTTTTTTGTTTTTTTTACATGTATTTTGAGAATAAATGCTTCAGTAAAACATGGAAAAGTCAACATGCAATCAAAACTGACCCCTTTTACTTCCATGTTGTGTTCGGAGAGGTTTTTATTTTTCCCAAAAATGCTTGTTAATGTTATGGCGTTAGACTACAACCTACTGACTTTACTCACATAGGGTACAGCAACTTTCCAAATAAACTGGATAATTTTTGCACTTGGTTTCAATCTTTTCATCAACATGTTTTCTTTCATTTAGTACAGGTTTTGTGTTTCTTTTTTGGAACGGATTGATCGTGAGCATTGATCTGAGCTCATGCACTTCAGTTTCTGAGTGAACATTGCCAAAATTATCCACAAATTATGCTTCTTTCACTCAAAAAACTGAGGTGCTTAAGGTCAAATCTATGAGACATATGATCAATTCAGTTTAAAAAAGAAATACAAAACCTGTGCACATTGAAAGCAAACAAATTGACAAAAAGACTGAATCCAAGATCTGGTAAAAAATATAGCATAATAAGAGATTTACAAGCATTTTTCGTTTTTTCAAATCCGGTCATTTTTGACCAGGAACACCAAATCTCGTTAAATATTCTGTTTCACCCGGAAATGTATTGCATTATGCATAAATTGGACTATGTAAGCAAGTTCATGTTGACTTTAGGCACTGATCTAACATTAAATCATATATTGTTTGTTTTGAAAATGACTGGTTAAAGTGTCATATACTGCTGGGAGCAGTTTATTGATCATTTATCAATCTCATTGATGTGTTAAAAGAATGAGAGAGGGTCAGTTGGGGAAAAGGTGCATGATACTCTATATTTAATTAAGTCTAAGAACTGCGATCCACAAAGTCCTTATAATCAACAACTGTATTTAATTTAATTTATAGCGTATGACCTCTGTGAATGCAGTATGAGCTCACTGAACTGAAGTGTGTGTCTGCATATGAAATGAGAAATTCACCCAATAAACACATTTATGAAGCACGCAACTTTATGGTCCACTGGATGCGTTATAATCTGCACCACAAACTTTTAAGGTTTAGGGACAAATTCAGATTTGCATGGGTATGTAGGACAATCATGTTAGTACAAAGTGGTATTTCAATTAGGGCTGTCAATCGATTAAAATGTTTAACCTAATGTAGGCTAATCAAGCTAATCTAATCAATTGTATATTAATTGCACATCAAATTTAGCTGAGAAGTTACCCACAAAAGCTAATTTAAAGTCATTACTGTGTAACATGAGAAAAGCATGTAATAGATATTACAAAAAGAAGCTTTTTTTTCATTTTTTGTGTGTGAACTATCCCTTTAATTAGAATTTTTTTTATTAATATGGATTTTTTTCCATTTCAAATTTGTTATTAATATGCAAATATTATTATTTTTTTTTTTATGAAATGATACTCTAAATATGACACTAAAACTGCCTGTAGGTGGCAGAAAATGTCTTAAAGGGTTAGTTCACCCAAAAATAACAAAAATTCTGTCATTAATTACTCCCCCTCGTGTTGTTCGAAACCTGTAAGACCTCCGTTCATCTTCGGAACACAATTTAAGATATTTTTTTTGTGCAAAGAAAACAAAAATAACAACTTTATTCCACATTTTCATCTCTACTGCGTCACTAGTGGACTCGCGTTCACGACGCTTGCCTTGTCCAAATACCCACACTTGCGGTCTTTGAACTTGACCACTTGACTACTTATATGACGTATTTCCTGTATTTGGCCCAAGTGTTCAAGTGAGGATGAAGACCACAAGTGTGTGTAGAACTTTTCATTACCTGATGGGACACACTTGTAGTGTTGTAAAAATGCAAGTGTTTACATAGCTTTATTTTAATTTTAAATACTTTTAAATTTAAAATCAACTTCTAAATGTCTGTTCAGTAGTCCCTATAACATGACAATTTTAATTTGTGGTGCTTCTAATTAAGTGATAAAAAGCAGTTGCAAATGTTGTACAAAA